TTAAAATGAATACATTTACAAATTTAAGCATAACATGATCTTTTAAAGTCTTGATTTCCATAGGTAAAAAGTTACAGAAAAAAATAAGGAAACATTTTGGTTTCTGGTTAGTAATTTTTTGGTTAGATACAATTCAAGAAAAAGATACAGATTTGGTTTAGGTTAATTGACAGAGACAAAGTAAAGGCTCAGTTTAGTATTATACTTATCTTGTAAACAGTGACATGCAGAGGTTTAGTGATGTTTGGTGATGCCAACACCCTGATTGTATGCCCCTAAAATTCAAATGGAAGTGGGGCCTATAGGGCTTAGTACTGAGAAATGTAAGAAAGAAAGATATTTTAAATATGTAAAAACAGATGAAACATGAAATAATCACTTTATTCAAATTAAATATAAACTAAATTTTTATTTTGCTCTTTGATTGGATGCCCTCTTCTGCACACTGTTGCTTGTAAACCAACTCCCATTAACTAGAAATTTTAAAAAGTTCAAGAATTTTGAAGAACTAATACATTAAAACCTTGTTCCAGGATCCTATTTGTAACTATAGACAATTTGGTGACCATATATCTTACTGTCTTTGAATTACACAGTGAGAAAGAAATGTACTAAAAAGACATTTGATAAATCAGAGTAAGATTTTTAAACTAATATTCAACAGTTTCTTAGATAAAACATTGTTGGTATTAATTTTGATATATTTTTCCATCTGACTTTTGTTGTTTTTCAATATAACACATGTGATCTATCTCAGACAAGTTTATTAGGATTAATGTTGTGAATTCAAATTTCATCAGAGGAGAACTTCTTTGTTTTTTAATCCATGCTGCTTATTTAAGTCAGAGAATGTAAAATGTGATTGTTACAATAAAAAGCAACAAAAATAAAACAAGCACAATTATCAAAACATTAATAATGATATTAAACACTTTTATATGTTTTTACATTTACTTGAATCTCTGAATTTTGGTTGTTATGCCCACAATATTTCAGCTGTTGCATCCTTGGCTTTCTTCTTGTGTCTGTTATTTTCAGCAACCTTTTTCAGAATTTAGAACTGAGCCCTTTATTTAATCCATAGGGGCAGATTGTTCTGATTATGCTTTCCATAGTATGGAGGTATGTCATATGAGTTCATACCTACAATTCTTTTCATCTTTCTGTTGCTTGTCCATTTATTCCACTGAAACAGAGTATATGACTTCTTGTGCACTAAATGACCCAGAGATTGGACACATGTCATGCCCTGTTCAATTCTTTAACCCAAAGGGAAGTGATCACTTCAACATCCACAGCTCATATGAAAAAAAAACAGACTATAATTTCATCCGGCTATACTCACTCACTTCTGAAATATCATCCAAAAACATTAAGGTCATAAAACATTTTTTTGACCAATCAGGAAAAAGCTCACAATGTTTTCATGACAACTGTTTCTGCATCACTAACTTACTATAAAGCCAACTCTTATTTCACCAACTAGGGCAGGTTAGCATTAGTGACAGACCCCTCCCTATGGAAAGAAAACTTAACCAGGCCATCAAAAGTAACAGCAAGGTGCTTTCATTTTAATTCAAGTGATAGCGATTGCTGTATGAGTCATACGATTTTTGAATCAAGCATGGGCAACACCTGGCCATGCTGCTAGTATTATATATAGGTGTAAAGATATGTGTGTGGATGTATGCATCCATACACATATTGCTAATAATTTCTTCTACTGTTCATTTGTAAAACTCTCTTCTGGTTTCTTGCCTCCTAGTTAACTTTGATCATGAAAAACTTAAATGCAATCCCAATCATTATCTTCTATCTTCTTAATTCCTGTTCTTTCTCCTTAATAGTGATTTTTTTTCTCATATTCTCTCACACTCAGTAACCCGCTTGTGTCTTAGTGGCTTTATTGCATTGCTTGGGATGAAATGATTAAAAAAAGAAGAAAAAAAGAGGACTCACAGCAAGTACACACAAGAGAATTCACAATTCATACACATGAACACACATCATGCAATCATTTACTCACACCACACCAAAGGGAACCCTCCTCATTCAGACACATGCCATACATGGAGATTGACTCAAGTGACATAAAATATTTCTCGAACACCCAACTATGTTGATTGCAGAAAAGTAATTTTGTAAGTGAAATACTTATATCTGTAAGCATATATGCATACATCCACACACATATCTTTACACCTATATATAATACTAGCAGCATGACCTTGCGTTGCCCATGCTTGATTCAAAAATTGTACGACTCATACAGCAATCGCTATCACTTAGCTTGCTCCACAACTGAGTGTTTATCTCTACCACGTGATTTTTCTACATTGACTTAAAATATTTTTGCCCTTCCTTGCCTTTAAAGGAGTGCCCTTTGCTGTGCTGATGTTGCTACATGCCTTACTTCTTGCCTATCTCACACTGTGAATTTTTTCTAAGCTCTATACTAAACATTAAATCTGTTACGAAAAAAGAACTAAACAAAATGAACACAAAACAATCCGCTTTAAAAAAGGACTCATAATTGGAAAAACCGAATGAAAAAAGAATGTTAACAACAAATACTTTTTCACACCCAACCCAGTTCTGGGGAATCAGAATCAATGTTGAGTTTAAGCAAGTGAATGAGCCAATTGGAGTAAAGTGCCATGCAGATTTAAATTTTTCCCCCTTTGTGACGAATGCAGCTATTGATTTTTTTTGCATGATAGCATGCTAGTTAACATTCATGTCAGTCAGCTGTTGGCTCTCACGCTGACCAATAGAATCTTCCTGCCTATTCGTGGCATCCAGCTATAGGCTCTCACTCTGGCCAGTACAAAATGGCCGCAAACTACATGAAAACTGCTGTAGAAGCATGAAAAATCGATTATTTCCACTATCGATGGGAGTTAGGAAATGCAATGTTGGTCTTGGCCTTCCCACTAACTTGGAGCATGTACATGTAAATTTTGGTGCAAATCCATTGAAAATTGCAGCTGTGCATTTGTTACACACACACACACAGCCTGCCTTTTATAGATAGAGATGTATACACTTATGCTTCTATACATACACAGACATTTGATGCCTGAACTTTATTTCTCTAGACTCTTTATGAACTCTTACTGTTCTGAGAATACTTTTTCTCTTTCATTTATCACCATTTTTGTTATTGAATTGTATTCAAATTTGTTTGATGATGTTTATTCTTCATTTGAAGCATGCAAAAGATTGTTTACTCCTCATTTGTCTTAACAGCCAAATCACCACCTCTTTCTTCTAAAGAGGATTAGCAATAAATGTATTCATTCGATTAGGCTAGCAGCTATCAGCAATAGCCCATGCAACAACAGAACAATCTATCTCTCTGTATTGAATTAAAGGTTTGGTTTAAAATTCCATGGAGGCTACTGAGAAGAAGAGATTCATAAAGAAGGCCAGAGAGTATAACAACCAAAATGAGTTTCCTCAGCTGAATATAAAATATTATAACAATTATATTTCCTCATTTCAAAAACTAAGCAATTTTACTTTATTTCTTTCAGAATTCAATTTTTTTTTCGAATGTTTCGTTCCAAATATTTTATAAACAGCATATGACTTTTTAAATCTGTAATTATTTTTATTGCTTACAAAATAGTTTCATGATTATGCTGAATTTAAAGTACTTTGTTAAATTTCTTTCAGACAAAAGCATTATAAAATGTATGTAATTGTTATAAACACACATATGATAGCATGGAAGAATAAACAAAACAACAGTTCTGCCAGTGAGGTGAAAAAAAAGTACAAGAATTGTAAATATAAAATTCTTTTGTATTACCGATAATGTATGGGTGAGGTGTGGCAATTTTAAATACAGATAGAGTTGGTAAGGCCTCGAATTAATATGTTTGGTGGATCTGTTGACGAAGGTCATAGTGGTGATGTCAAGGGAGGCCTGGAGTAGATTAATGAAGCATAATGTTTGATGGGAATCTGACTTTACCGATACAGAGAATATGATCGGAATGTCTCTGTGTGCATGGTGTGGTTGTTTGGAGGAGGGTGGGTCACAAGCATATATGTGTGTTGGGTTAGTTGATCAATGTCAGGGTGGTACTGTTGAGAGATCACCAGGCAGTGACAGTTGGCCTGTTGCTTGCCTTCTGTTTGCTTCTCCTTCAGTCATTTATGAGCAGCTTTCTTAAAACAAATCTGGTGGCTCCTGAGTTCATATTTTTTCTTTGCCAGCAATATTTATGATTGGCTTTTTTATGTTGTATTTTAGATTTTTGAGGAGATTTGTTTTGTAGGCTGGGTGTGATACTCGGAGCTCTTGTGCAGAAGACGACTTTTTTTTATTTTGGTTTTTGCTTTCTTAGCACTCACAATCGATTGACATGTAGAATGAATCAGAAAAAGATCTAATTTGCAGCAGAGTATAACATTGTGGATATCTAATTTGTTAATCCCAATGACATTTGAAATAAAAAAAAATTATTTGGAAAATTCTTTTACTGATATACTTTTTTAATATCTTTATTATTTCATTTTATTCACTTGATTTTGGTAATTTTAGAAAAAACAAAGGTTAACTGATACCTTCTGTAATATTAGCACATAAAGTCACTCCTTATAATTTTAATCAAGTATTACTTTATTGTTTTTTTTGTATTAGCACAGAAATACAATAATTCTGTAATCAATTATTTACAAGTACTTTAAAACTAAAAGTTAAACTTTAAACAATGGCAATTAAGTAGTTATAAATTGGAATAAACAGAAAAAACACTTTTCGAATTAATACTTTCTTTTGAAAACTAAATTACCAACAATCTCAAAACTCAGTTATCTATACATACATTGAACTAAGCATTAGTAAAGATTACAATTACATATTTTAAAAATAAATGTGTTGTTAATTGATGTAAGAGAAACATAACTTTTGTTTAATATTAGTAAATCCATTTACTAGAGTTATCGTTCTTTGTTGTAGTTGTCTCAATTGTAATCACTCCGCCATAACAATGTCCAAAGCTGAACACACTTTCAGTGCTTTTCTTACCACTGCCTTTTATCCAGTGTCTTATGCCAAGTTCTTGATACAGGTATGAGGTTGCCGTTTTTCTTTTTTATCCCCTTAGTGTAAGTTTAAATATGCATAAACTTTAAGTCACTGATTGTTAAATTACTACTACCACCACCACCATTTCTACTTTAAAAGTAAAACTGACTTGAAACGTTGTCTTCCTTAAAGGCTAAAGCAAACTGCCTTTTGTTATTTTTTATCTCGTTATTGTATATATCATGGTAATATACCGTATCTTTGATTCTTGATATATTTATTGGTGAAATTCCAATTTGATTCTGATTAAATTTATTTTCACTCTTTGTATAGGACGTGCTTTTTGTATCAAGTACTAACGATGGTTGTCATTTAAATTCATTTTTTTGCGTACAGATATCGCTAATTTTTTTTTAAGATTACAATAACTGGTTATTTTCATGACATGGAAAGCATTTAATTATAATTCAGGAATATCCATTTAAACAGTTAACATATTTTTGCTTTATATGTTTCAAAATAATGATTTGAAAATATGCATGATAAACCATACGCGGCTACAAAGGAAGACTTTTTAAATAACCTCTACTAAGTCAAAGTAAAATAAAAAGAAAAAAAGTGGTGTAGAATTGATTACTGAAAAGTATTTTTTTTTAATTATTTATATTTTAGAATATTTATTTATAAATTAAATTTTCTGCGTATTTTTAGTTTACTTTTTTTAAATAAAAAAAATTGGGTTGAGTCAATTTTCCAAGAGGGTTCAGTAAGGATTCGCATATAATTTGAGAATTAGTATTCTCTAGACCCTACCTAAATCTTGTTAACAGAACTTGGGGAAATTAACAATTATTTTCTAAAATATTTGATTATTATGCTTACGTAAAAGAATAGAGAGAATTTATGAGCATTAAAGATCAGAAAGTTAGTTTCTTTTTCGTTTTTTTTTTTTTTTTAGTCTTTGACCAGAAACCTCTTTTACTTTAAAAATCTTTTTTGCCAACCAGATTTGCTACCTTGTCTGAGCTGACTAGTAAGTCATTTGTTAAATAAATGAAATTAATATTGCGAAGTGTAAGTTAGTAATAGTTAATTTTAGAGGCGTAAAGAAACACTGATTAATTGAGATTTTCTTTCACTCATTCGCATTTTTTTCCTTTTTTTTTTTTTTTTTTTTTACAGCATCACAATAGAGATTAAAAAAAAACAGACAAATATTCTGGTCGAGAATGGAAGAAAGTGTTAAAAAAAAGTGAGAGGGTGACGATCTATAATTTTAATAATGAAAGTGGAAAAACTTTTTGAATCGCTTCCACATGCTTTGAATAGCATACAAAATGAAATTTCACCTCAAAATTATAAATATATTAACTTTCCTATATATGGGGATTAGGATGTTGGCGATCATGGTTCTCCACAATTCCCTGTCCTTTGTAGCTCTTAATAAATTTTCTCTCCTTAACCTTGTTCCACCATCCTTTTACTCAAGCTTGCTAGGTAGATTTATTATGCATTGTTTTCCTCTGTCCCTCTTGCCTTCACTCTGTCTTGTGAGTATCAAATTTTCCAAGCCCTCTTCCTCATGTGCCCTAAAAATTTCAATTGTCTCTTCCTGATGTTAAGTATAAGTGTCTGTTTTGTTTCCATTTTCTCTAAAACTTTGTCATTACTCACATGTTCAGTCCATAGTGTTCTCAGTATCCGTAATCACATTTATGTTGCTTCAAGTCTTTTCATCTTTGTGGAGATTGTCCAACATTCACCACAATATAGGAGGACTGAGTGAAAATCAAAGAATGAATTACTTGTTACTTTATGTTTTGGGAAAAATGATTTTTGGTGCCATTCATATTTTCCTATATTACAAACACTCAGAAAAATTAAATATCTAAATAAAGTGAAATGCAAAATGTGTAGAAACTTTTTGCACTTAGTGAAACTTTTGTGGAAAGGGAGAAATGACAGAATTCAACTGTAATCCTTTGACAAAAATATAATGAAAGATATTATTTTGTCTTCAGAAAATACATAGAAATGAGGTCCAGTCAACTCCATCTGTTTGAAGGAAAGTCAAAATTTGTATATGTGTTCAATGAGATATAAAATGCAAAAGTAGTTAGCTGAAGGTGGTAATTTTTCTTCCTTCGTTACTTCCTTCTTTTTCGAAGTTGACTGGATGTCTTACCAAAACTGTTAATAAGAGTCCTAACTCTTTATTTTCTATTGTTACTTCTACAAGGAGAATTACTTGTAGGCAGCATATAGTGTTTTTATGTTGCAATTTGACACAAGCAATTGCCACCATGAAATTACACCAGTTACAAGTAAGAATTTGTTAACATTTCTTTCTTTCTGCACTGAGTTTTGTTACAAATGCTAATAGTTGCCATTATAGTTTTTCTACCTTCCCTTTCCCATAGCAGTCAGACTTGAAATCTCCACAAATGAAGTTCAGAAAACATGGTTTGTCAATGACAATGACCTATCAGATTTTCCCCATTTGTTAATTAAGTGCCATGACAAAAATCTTTGAGTGATTCTGAGATATATTAAAGTTACATTTTATCTTATAATTAGATAATTATTTGTCTTTAAATTTGAAGAAGAGAAAAATTATTAATGCTGTCAAGCATTTAAGAATAAAAACTTTGTGCAGTATTGCTTGCCAAAAATGTTTTATGAATCTTTGTTTTTTCTTTTTTTTTTTGTTAGTGCCTTCATATATATATATATATATATATATTTTTGTTCTGTATTGCATTTTGTCCCAATTTTCACATTGCTACAATGAGAAATAGGAACATCTACCTATCATATCTTTTATAAATATTGTGATATGAATGAAGAAAAATATCTTTTTTTAGAATACCATTTGCTTATATAGGGTGTGGCAGAAATGCCTCCCACATAATCGTCAGACATTAGCTAGATGAAGACACTATTGACACTTACCTAAATTCATTAGCACCAAACAGATGACAGTTTGATATACCCCGCACATTTTAACCACTTGGCTTCATTATATTATACACAAATACCTTTATGACACTTCTTGCTGGTCGGTCCTTGATCAATTCCTATGCTGGTCAATACTGCTGTTGGTCATTGAAGTGGCTGTCCTAGTCTGTGCCCTGCCCCATCCAACGTTGTGCTTTTTGATCACAGAGCTAGCAAAGACTGAGTCACCGTCAGCAATCAGAGTGCTGGTTTGAACCTTGGTGTAACTGTGCCACAAGGAAAAAAAAACAATGTTCTTTGCAGACAAAATAAAAGAAGACAGGAAATTCTTCAGGTTAATTTCTTCTTGTTCTTTGTACAGAAATATTAACCCTTTTCACGTTGAATGCTATCATGACACTTTGATCATTTTAGCTAAGTCTGGAACAACACTTAAGTTGGGAAGTCACTTTGACTTTGACAATGTAGTCATTTCTCATCGTCTGCAACTCCAACTAGAGCTGGTTGCTTCAGCTTTCTGCTTATATTGATTTTTTTTTTTTTTTTTACTCAAGACTGGTGTCAGGGTGACAGTATTTGAAGATTCTAGGCTTTCCAACAAGATTTCTTTGTTGTCTGGTTTTGGAAAATTAATTATCTTTTCAAATTTGGGAGACTTCTTTTCCATGAGCAGTGATTGCTGACACTGACCTGCCCTGATAACGTCTTCTTTCTCTTATTTGTACCTCGCACAATTACCTGCTAATGGGTAGAGGCAGTCCCTCTGTCTCTCTTGGTATTTCACCTAAGTCTCTTCTGTTGGTTGTCATCTTGACAAATTCAATTTTTAAATTCCATGAGCAAACAGGTTGGACTTTTGGTTGTTAATCGTATTTATTACTTTGTTGTTAGCACATTTTTCCTAGTTTGGGGTCTTGTCTTTATAATCAGAAATTAACCAGCTGCTTCCCTTTTACCATAATCCTCATATCTTAATTTCTCTTAGGCCAAGTATAAAATCCTTTCTCTGGGATTGTTTTTACAGTCTTCTGATTTTTTTTACAGTAATCATAAATCAGTTTTTCTCCATTTGCCTTCGCTTTAAAATGATCATATTTTATCTCCTAATTGGTATTTTCGAAAGTGGCACTTTTAGTAGATGGTCATTAATTAATTTTTCCCCTTTCTGCTTCATTTCAAAATGTTTGACTGTCTTTGAGAGTATTTTCTCTATTTCCCATAGATTTACATTTACCAGATGGCTGTCTTTTTCTTTGCAGAATCTGGTTTTTGCTCATCTAGGTTTTAAGTTACATTTTAACTTAACCTTTTTTTCATTGTTTCCAACTTAGCTTTTTTTTTCATTTACCAGTGCCACACATTGTTACACCCTTGGGAAAAGTATGAATCCACACCTTTTCCCCATCACCTATGGATTAATTAGTAGGACTTGTATCAGTAAATCATTATCTCCAAAATAATTCTTATAATCTAAAAAATATTTTCTGGCTTTAAATAACCTGTAAAAGATTGATAAGCCATAAAAAGAAATCTTCAATCAATCAATCACAAGTAAGTAAAATTTGACTCTCTTAAAACAAAATTCTTTGAATATTCCAAATATTTATTAATCAATTTGAAAAACAAGTTTTTCTCAAAAATATCTATTCACTCTTAAAACAACATTCAAAAAAGTTAATTCAGGAAGTGAGGTATTTTGTTCCATTGTGATTTACTCAACAGTATGTAACTCTGGCTATAACATGTTGACAGATGAGTGGATTGTCAGGTGTAGTATGTGAGAATTTGTACATTTTGTATATAAAATGTGCAATCAATGATTGAACAGCTATCAGTTTTGTTGGGTGATATGTAAAAAATAACAAATGTTACTTGCCGCATGAATTGTATCTTATCTACAGATATGAATGCACTATAAAATGACTTTTACGCAACTATAACACTGGTAGCGTATTATAAGTGGGTATATTTTAGTCAACTGATAAGGCAAATTTGAAGATAATTGATGAACATATATTAACTTATATTAATTGAAAAAGTTTGACTGATATTTACCTCCATTTCTATAGGCAGTGTAAAGTGGAG